GAAGAAGGTTTACCTTCCAACATGACAATGACCCAAAGCACACAGCAAAACTGAGCACACAGTGGTTGAAGGAGAAAGAGCCGGTGAATGTCCTTGCATAGCCTCGTCAGAGCCCAGACTTAAACCCCATTGAAAACCTGTGGAATGACCTGAAGACTGCAGTCCACTAACGCTCACCATCAGATTTATCTGAACTTGAGCAGTTCTGCAAAGAAGAGTGAGCAAATATTGTCTAGATGTGCAAAGTTAGTAGATACAGAGACAAATCCTAACAGACTAAAGGCTGTAGTTAAAGCAAAAGGTGGTTCAACAAAATACTGACACAAGGGGGTGATCCTTTTTCTAACTCAGTGATTCTGTTTTTTAAAAAAAATTCTGGCATGTTAGTGTTATATCTTTCACTTGGATGTTATAAGTTGCACTGAGTGAATAGAGCTGGATAAAACAAAAAGTCTGTCTTCATTTCAGGCTGCAAAGCAATAAATGTGGTTATTTTAAAGGTGGTTATACCCACTGAATATTTAATTGCATCCAAAATAAAAGTGTGTGTATACATACAGGTGCATCTCAATAAATTAGAATGTCGTGGAAAAGTTCATTTATTTCAGTAATTCAACTCAAATTGTGAAACTCGTGTATTAAATAAATTCAATGCACACAGACTGAAATAGTTTAAGTCTTTGGTTCTTTTAATTGTGATGATTTTGGCTCACATTTAACAAAAACCCACCAACTCACTATCTCAACAAATTAGAATACTCCATAAGACCAATAAAAAAAACATTTTTAGTGAATTGTTGGCCTTCTGGAAAGTATGTTCATTTACTGTACATGTACTCAATAACTTGGTAGGGTCTCCTTCTGCTTTAATTACTGCCTCAATTCGGCGTAGCATGGAGGTGATCAGTTTGTGGCACTGCTGAGGTGATATGGAAGCCCAGGTTTCTTTGACAGTGGCCTTCAGCTCATCTACATTTTTTGGCCGGACCAGAACATAAAGTGAGCGGCGCCTCTTCTCCCCAAGTTTTTTTCCCGTTTTTGAAAACCTTTTGTTTTCTTGTGTTTTCCCCCTGCGATCATGGAAATCACTGCTAGATTCATTTTCCTAGCCTGTAGAGATCTCCCCTTTGTCGAGTATGCCAGGGAGTTCTGCAGGCTCGCCGTGGCGACGCTTTAAATGACGCCACCCTCAACTCTTTGTTCTGGTACGGGCCAATTACCATCGCCCCGTGGACCTCCCAGACACCACGGGACTAAGCTCGAGGGAAGGGACCCTCCGGTGTCTGGAGAGCGTCCGGCCCCAAGCCAGAACCAGCCCGCCGGCCGCGCCGATGTCAAGCCCGCCGGCAGCGGCATTCCCAAGCCCGCCGGCCGTTCCTCAGTCAAGCCCGCTGGCCGCACCGATGTCCTCTAACCAAAGGAGGATGAGGAGAAAAAGACTGTTCTCCGGCCTCATCCTAGCCCCTATCCCCGAGTTTAGCCCAGTGAGGGCTCTGTAATGTCAGGGTTATGGACCTGTTTTGTGTTTCGATGTTCCATGTACTCCATGTCCTAGTTTCCTTATGCCCTTATTTGACGTCGTGACGTGACATGTGACCCGTACTTGGAATTAGTGCTCTG